CACCCACCCACCTTCCATGGCTCCAAAGTCTGGACTCCAGGAGCATTTGAGCCTTTGTTCTGGGTTTCCTCCTCAGAGAGATCCCTGCTCAGGATCCCTCTGTGCCTCTTTCAGTGATGGAGTGGTTGGTTGCAGGGCTAGGAGACTAACCAGTGTCTGCTGAATTGACGTGCCCTGCTGTGACGGTGCATTCTCAACGAAATCCAAAGAATGGCAGCAGAAAAGTCCCTGACGGCAGCAGCATCATCCAGTGCTTCTGATCGCTGGCAGAGGGGCCAGTGGCTCCTGGAGGTCCTCCACCGCTCAGTCCCCGTCCTGACTCTCCCTCCTCTGTTGCTCCTGGTGACTGAGGGCCAGTGGTGCTGTAGGTGGCCCTTTGGTACCTTTTGAGACTCCAGATGGTGTGCTAGGAACTAGGGGGTGGACCAGAAGCACCAGCACATTACTCAGGCCGGTTGACCTAATGACCCTAAGTCTCCAAACCAAGGAGCTACATCCCACGAGGTGTTTGGTCCCGCAGAGCAGCAACTTAAAAAATATACATATTTATCTATATATCTATCTATTGAGCCTGAGTCATGGTTGTAGATGTGTCAAGCACATGACTTTTGCTGTTTCAGCACAACTCAAGCTCACTGACAGCCAGGAAAGCCGTCAGCTTTGCCACCCGACCCTTTACCACAGCGGTCTCCTGTCACCATGGACCCCGACCCCGGCCCCTGGTAACGCACCGACAAGCACCTCTCCTTCCGCCTGCCCTTTGATAGGAGGGAGCCTCATATCGTTCATGGGAAAACGGCAGTGTATCTCTTCGCCCCAGTTTCCCACTGGCTTTCTGGAGCCCCCTTGTCTTAAACGAGGTGAGAGAGGTGCATCTTCCACTTTCTGTCACCTGCTCCCAGCAACGTCTCAAACAGGATTTTTGTTAAGAGACCTCAAGGGTATGCTCTGGGCTCAGTTTCCCCAGGTAATGAGGCAGGGCGCTGCATCTGATTTAGGAGCATGAGAAATGGAGAACAGGTGGAAGCGGCCAAGCCTTCTGTCTCCCTTGGCTCCACAGTCCGTGCTCATGGAAGCAGCCGTCAGGAGATCCAAAGGCGCATTGCTTTGGGTCAGCCTGCTGCACAAGACCTCTCTAAAGTGTTGAAAGTGAGGATGTTACTTTGAGGACTAAGGTGCGCCTGGCCCCAGCCGTGGCCTTCTCCCAGCCTGGTGTGCGTGTGAAAGTTGGGCACTGAATAAAGAGGAATGCAGAAGAGCCAATGCCTTTGAACACTGAGAGCACCAGGGACTGCTCAAAGGACAAACCGGTCTGTCTCCTCGGGGCAAGGGTGGCCAGACTTCGTCTCACGTACTTTGGACGTGTTGTCAGGAGAGGCCAGTCCCTGGAGAAGGACGTTGTACTTGGGAAAGCCCTCGGTGACGTGAATTGACACCGTGGCTGCAGCAATGGGCTCAGGTGTGGCAGCAATTGTAGGCTGACGCAGCACCGGGCAGGTTGATTTTGCTGTGCACGGGCCTCTGGATCGTAGCTGACTCAGGAACCTAGTAACAACAACAACAGCATTGTTTTTATAATGAACGTGCCATGCGATTCACTGGTGTAAATATATGTGTGTGTGTGTGTGTGTATCAGTTTATTGGGGGCTCTTACAACTCTTACCACAATCCGTGTATACATCCATTGTGCCGAGCACATTTGTACATTTGATCCAACAACCACATTATACCAACAGAGTCCTTTCTCTGGGGGGCCGGCTCCTCACATGCCGAGGACTCTCACCTGGGTCACCCTAATCGACAGTAAAAGTCTGTAATCTTGTACATGTCAAAGAAAAGAAACTTTAAAAACAGAGATTTGACGATACTTGCCCTTTGGTGGTTGGCTTATCTTGCTTCACATAAGGCCCCCAAGCTCCAGTTCTGTGTGTACTGCCTACCTCTTTGTCTGGTAGACGTCATTTATCAGTGGAGGAGTGGCCCGTTGTGTGTGTGTTCTACTTCTTGTCTGTCTGTCTTGGGGTTCATCTTCGGATGGGCAGCTGGGTTGTTCCCACCTGTTAGCTATTGGGAACAGAGCTGTGGCGAACACTGGTGTGCGGTCTCTGCGGCGCGTCTGCTTTCAGATCTCCTCGCCACAGACGTGGGAGTGGAGTTGCTGGCCGCGCAGTGGATCCAGTTTCCATAGTGGCCGTCCATGTTGCAGTCCCACTAGCAGTGGACGCGGGTTTCAATCTCCCCGCGGGCCAGCCTGCCGATTTGTGGTTTTCTGGTTTGTTTTTCAAATCTTTGTTGTTGATAGATGCCACTGGCTTGCTTTCCACACATAGCAACTCCCATCACAACAGAATAAAGCAATGCCCGGCCCTGCGCCATCCTCACAGTTGTGTCCGTCCATCTTGCCGAGTGGCTTCCTCTCTGTCGCTGTCTCTCTCCTTTCCCGGGTCCTCCCTGATAACCTGCCCCCCAAGTGTGTGAGTGGGGTAGTCCTCGTAGAGGGACAGGGCAGACTCTCACTCTGGTTGGATCTGCCAGCTACCAGATGACACTGATGCTGGGCCCCTCGTCCTGTGTTTGGTGCCCGTCTTATGATGGGTGCCTTGTCGTTTTCTCATTGACTTGTAGAACATATGTATTTATATGTGTAGTATATACATACCCACTACGACTTATATATGTATATCTCTATCATGTATGTATTTTACTGTCTTTGTATACACCGGTCATTCCATCCCTGTTGAGTCTTTAGTTTCTGAAGATGCTCTCCCATGCGGTAGTCTTCTCCCACGCTGGTAAGTGTCTTGGGGAAGTCTCGAGGAGCACAAGCCCTTCCTTTTCACAAGGTCTCATTTGTTTGTTTTGTCTCTTGGTGGTGTGCTCGGGAATCCGTTGTTGAAAACCAGGCCGGACCCTTCTTGTTCTTGTAAGAATTCCATGGGGTTAGCATGCAGATGTGGGTCCGTAAGCCATTTTGGATTTGCTTTTGTGGATGGTGCCGGGCCTGGCTCCTGTTTCATTGTCCTGCCTGTGGGAAGCCAGTACCACGTGTGAGACGCTTATTCCCCCACTGGATGGACTTGATTATCGTAACCCAGTGGACCGGAGATGCGTGGGGTTTTCCCGACTCTCTGTGTTGGTCTGGTGGTCTGTGTCGACTGTTGACCGGCACCGGGCTGGTTTGAGTATTATAGCTGTGTGTGACTTGTTTTAAAGTCAGCACATACGATTCATCCTACTTTGCCCTTTTCAACAACACTGCCTTGGGTTTCGAAGGCCTCGTGCCCTTCCCTGTGAAGTTCAGTGGACTCTGACACCCGGCGACCCTCCAGGACAGTGGAGGACTTAGAATCCTAGGCTGCCACCTCGATGGAAGCAGGCTCCCAACCCTTTCTCCCTGCTTCGCTGCTGATTTCTCTGAATAGCCGGTGTCATTTTCGTGTGTGGGCTATTTCCCATGTTGGTGGTCTTGTTTCCAGAGATGATGCCTGCATGCATGGCGGCTGGTCCTCAGCTGCCTCACAGCTCGGGGTTTCGACCAGCACACGACAGAAGGTGTGTTTGAGATGATGGTGCTGCCTCCGACGGACCTGGCTGAGGTGCCTAAACCGCTTCCAGGCCGCCTGTTTGTTCATGGGCAGCCGTGTCCGTCCTCTTAGTTGTCTAGGTCTTTCTTGTTCTGAGTCCTGCTGGTGCAACAGGAAGTGCTTGTCTGCGGACCACAAGGCCAGCAGTTACAGGAAAAAGATGTGGCCGCCTGCTCCCGTCAAGGTGACAGCTGTGGGCACCCTGTGAGGCACTTCTCTGCCCGGCAGGGCTGCTCTGGCTTAGTGGTGTGCATGCACATGTGCATGCTCGCTCTCTCTCTGTCACGCACACACTCTCTGCAGTGTCTAATTCACACCGAGTGCGTGTTAACCGGCAGCTGGAATCCACCCGCAGCTCTGGGGTGGAAGGTGAGGCTGTCTGCTCCCATCAAGCTCTCCAGCCCCAGAAGCCCTACAGAGCAGCTTCGCTGTGTTCCATGAGGGTCTCTATGAGCCATTGTGGGTTTCGTCCGTAACTGTCTTCTGTTTGGTGAACGTTGTGGTCAGTGGCTGTCCGGTTGGTTTCACTCCCAGCAGCCCAGTGAACAACAGAACGAAACGCCGCCGGGTCCTGCCCCCCATTCACAGTCGCTCTCGTCTGAGCCCATCGCGGCAGCCACAGTGCCCGTCCATCTTGTCGAAGGTCTTCCTCTCTTTGGCTGCCCCACAGGGTGCCCTTCTCCAGGGACTGGTCTCTCCTGACAACGTGTCCAAAGCACGTGAGGGAAAGTCTTGCCACCCTTGTCTCTCAGGAGCATGCTGGCTTACTGCTTCCCAGACAGTCCACCGCTCTTTCGGTATTCTGCTCCAGCACCGTTCTGATCCAAACGCATTGACGCTTCGCCATCCCTTATGCAGCGTCCAGCTTCACACGCACACGAGGAGACTGTAAATGCCACCACGACGTGGGGTCGTGCACACTTAGTCCTCAAAGCAGCATCCTTGCCCTTCACGACTCTGGAGAGGTCTTGTGCGGCAGACTTCCTGAATGGACCGTGTGACTGCTGCTCCCGTGAGCGTTCGTGGTGGATCCCAGCAAGCCCAAATCCTGGACCGCCTCCCCCTTTGCTCCATTTCCCATGCTGTGACCCCCTGGTCCCGTCGCCGTGAGGGGTTGGTCGTCTTGACGTTGAGCTGTAACCCATACAAGGCTGCGGGCCGTGGTCCTCATCAGCCAGGTTGTGCCATCTGCATAAGGCAGGTTGTTTAATGAGCCTCCCTTCAATCTCGACACGACAGGCTTCCGATAACAGTTTCTCCGACGATTTGCTCAGCTTGGTGACGTTATACGAGCTAAATTGGACTGTTATCTGGTTTGAAATCATTCTTCATTTTTCCCTCCCGGGCCTCAAATGGATGTACCTGAGTGAAACAGTCCCTTCTCCTGAACCCCCTGCCCCGTGTCCGCCCCTCCAGGTCATCACCCCGTGCCGGAAGCTCATCTTGTGTGCTGACAGCAGGAAGGAGATGGAAGATTGGATGGCGGTCCTGAAGACGGTGCAGAGCAGGGAGCACTTTGAGGTTAGCCCAGAGCCCCGCTCCTCACCCCGCCTGAACATGACCGTCTCAGCCGCCCTTCTGCTGGGGGTGCATGTCCCCACCCCCACTCCCAAGTGCCTGTTGCAGCCCTGCTCCACCTGTACTCTGGGGGCGTGCCTCTTCCCACCTGCACCCACCATTATGGGAGTGTCCCTCTGCCTGTGCCTGTTGCAGCCACCCACTCAGCCCCAGCCTGTGGCAGTCTCCGCCCCCAATCCTGGCTGTAGCCCCGCCCACCTGCCCTCCCTCTCCTCCCACTGGACAGGCCTCACGTGCCCACCTGCTGTGGCCCTGCTGACCTTCTCCAGCTTTGCTGTAGCCCACTGTAGCTCCCTGTTATGTTTCCCCGGGCCAGCTGACCTATCAGTACTGCCTGTCCCTTGTGGCGCCATCCCCCTCCCTCTGCCACCCCCCCAAGTCATCCCTCTGAAGGCCCTGCTGACCCCCACCCCTCTCTGTTGCCCCGCAGCCCACCCAGTACAGCATGGACCACTTCTCAGGGACCCACAACTGGTACGCCTGCTCCCACGCCAGACCGACCTACTGCAACGTGTGCCGAGAGGCATTGTCCGGGGTCACCTCCCACGGGCTGTCCTGCGAGGGTGAGGACACAGGGCAGGGTGGCCTCAGAGCAACACAGTCCAGGGGCCACGAACGCAGGGCCCAGGCCAATTCCTAAGACTCGGCTCTGAGGAGCCTGGTGGCAGTGGGCTGCTCTGAGCGCATGAGGTCCACCATTCCAGCCTGCCCCCTGCTCCACAGGAGAAAGAGGAGGCTCTCTGCCCCTCCCAGACCCGCAGTTCTTCTCCGAAGGCCGCTACAGTCGGAACGGGCTCACCGGCTTGGCTGGCAGTGGTTCTGAGTTTGGGCTTGTGCCAGGAGTTGTCCCTGATGGATGACCCTGTGTTAGAACTAGCAAAGTGGAGGAGACAGGAGCAACACCCCCCCCCCCCCCCCTTACTGTGGGGTGGCTGTGTGAGTCAACCTCAGGGGTCAGGGAATCCAGTCCTTGGGCTAGTGCGGTGAGCCGGAGCAGGGTTGGCGGACTGCAGCCTGGCCAGTGCCGCCTGCCTCCCCTCTGAGCTGCAGAGTGACCGCTCGCTTTTTACATGGCCCCTGGTGGTATAGGTACAGTTACGCCCTGGGCTGGCTGCTAACTGCAAGGTCAGCAGTTTGAAACCACCAACCGCTCCTCAGGAGAACGACGAGGCTTTCTACTTCTGGAAAGAGCCACAGCCTAGGAAACCCGCAGGGGCAGTTCCACCCTGCCGTGTAGGGCCGGCATGAGTTGGCATCAAGGGCAGTGAGTTTGGGGTTTTGTTTTGGAAAAGGCAGAAGGCGTGTTCAGGTTTCAGTGTGTGTGCTGTCCCGTGGGCTGTCCTTTGGCCCGTGGTGGCCCAGCTGTGACAGTGACTGTCTGGCCCACACAGCCCAAGCTCATCACCATCGGCCCCGTGGCAGAAGTTGGTGTCTCTCTCCCTGCGGTCACAGTAGCTGAGCTCACAGCACGGGCATGTGCCCTGTTTCTGCCACCCCATGTGCCAGGACCTAGGGCTACCCCCAGTGCTGGTCCCCTAGTCCAGCTGCCTAGGACAGAGTGCAGGGAGCCTGAGGCTGTAACAGGAGAGCTGGGGGAACCCAGCGCCACCCCCTACTGTCCTGGAGGACTGTGGCTGAGCCCAAATCTCACCGGCTCCTTGCAGTGTGCAAGTTTAAGGCCCACAAGCGCTGCGCCGTGCGTGCCACCAACAACTGCAAGTGGACCACACTGGCGTCCATCGGGAAGGACATCATTGAGGATGAAGACGGGGTATGGCCAGGGACCTGGGGCTTAGTGGGAGGGTTAGCATGTTCCTGTCCCCTCTGGCTGGTGTCCCCCATCCGTCCCCTTCCTGGTAGGTGCTCGTGAGCTGGCAACCCGCTGGGAGCGAGGGTGCCTGTCCCTGGGGTCTGGGCCCAGGCACCTCTAGCCTCCCTGCTCTGGTCTGCAGATCGCCATGCCGCACCAGTGGCTGGAGGGGAACCTGCCGGTGAGCGCCAAGTGCACTGTGTGCGACAAGACATGCGGCAGCGTGCTGCGCCTGCAGGACTGGCGCTGTCTCTGGTGCAAGGCCATGGTGAGCACAGCCTGGGGCTGGGCGGGGTCCAAGCACTGAGTGGCAAAGGCCTTCCAGCTGCTTCCTGGTCACGGGGCGAAGCCATCAGAGCCGCTCAGCCGCTTGCCGTCTGATGCCTTTTCTCCTTCCTGGGGTGGAAATCTCTGGTTCCGGAGCAGGGCACAGGGCCAGGCGTGCAGCTCACACCGAGTGGGTACACAGCTTCCCTCTGGGCTGGCTGGGTGCCCGGTGGGTGGGACAGGTGGAGGGCATGGTCCAGGCCCCAGTGCGCGTGGCTGAGAGGGCTCTGTGTCTGAGGCTGCTGGCGTCCTGTTTCAGGTGCACACGGCGTGCAAGGACTCCCTGCTGACCAAGTGCCCGCTAGGCCTGTGCAAAGTGTCGGTCATCCCACCCACGGCCCTCAACAGCATCGACTCGGACGGTAGGCACCCGAGCCCCAACCCGACCCGTGTTCTCACACCTTCTTCCCCAGCCCCTTAGAATGAGCCTTGTTGGGGTGCCAAGGCTCGGGCGGCAAGAAGCCAGGCACAGCCTGGGGGGCGAGGCGTCACACAGGCAGTGAGTGGGTGTTGGCCCCCCGGGTACCAGAGGCTGGAGGTCCCTCCCGCTCCACAGGTTCCCAAACCGAATTGGCACACATCCCCATTTGGGGGGTGGGGGGACCCAGTGTCCTCTCAGCAGTTAGAACCTTCGAGAGTCTAGCCCACGATTCAGCTTGAAGTGAAGCCCCCTGGTGGGGTACTGGTTATGCATCGGGCTGCGATCCACAGTGTTGACAGTTTGAGACCACTGGCAGCCCTGCGGGAGACAGACTGGACTTCCCACCCACCTTAAACAGTTACAGCCCTGGAAGCCCCCAGGAGGCCGCTAGGAGTCAGCATTGACTCCATGCAGCGAGCTTAGTTCAGAATCTCCCACCAAGCCACTCACTAACCCCCCTAGGGGTGGTGGGACCGCCTGCTTTGGGGAGAAACAGCCCTACTCGAAGGTGCTGGAGCCCATTGGCAAATCAACAGAAGCCACGTTTCAGTCTGAGAGCCCCGGTGGCGCAGCGGTTAAGCGCTCAGTGGCCAGCTGAAGGTTGGTGGTTCGAACCCACCGCTGTTCCTTGGGAGAGCAATGGGAAGAGGGTCTTCTTCTGCACAGATTTCTAGCCTCGGAAACCCAAGGGTTCAGTTCTCTGCAGCACCAGCCTCTGCACACACCGGCGTCAACCCAACAGCAGGGGGCGGTGGCCTGCCTCCTTCTCTTGAACGGGAGCAGGTAGAGGCTACAGCCGGGAGCCCAGGAGCAGGCCCTACACGGCCGTGGCAGTGACACTGGGTGCCCGAGTGGTACCAACAGGTCTGGGCATACAGGTGGGAAACCGGGGGTGATCTGGGAGTCGACAGCCCGGGGCATAGCAGTCAGGAAGGTTTCTGGAGGTTGGAAGCAGGGTCTTGGAGTCAGCAGCCACTGGTGGTGTCCCCCTCTGTCTTAGAGCGGAACTGTGCTCCATGCCGTGGGCTATCGGAAGTGGACCACCAGGCCTTTCTTGAAGTTGCCCCTTGGCAGGGTAACACCTGCAGTCCCTGAGTTGGTGGCCAAGTGTGGGGGGAGGGCTCTTTGTCAGAGTTAGGGTCCTTGTAGATAGATGTGGAGCCCAGCTGGACGGGGAGGTAAATAGCAATGGAGGCCACATCTGACCTCCCCTGGCTTCCCTGGTGCCTCGAGGCAGGGGTCGGTGGACACAGCTTCCCGTCCCTTCCGTCGTTACCTGTTCCGACACCAGCCGCTCCTCCCACGCCACTCTCCCGGCTCTGCTGGGCTTGATGGCTCCTTGCAGTGGTCGCAGAAATCCCAGACAGCACTCACAAACACGGGGGTTATAGGGATGTCACGGCAAGTCAGGATCAGCAGACAGTGAGGACGCATCACTGGTTTCCGCCAGCAGCTGAGTCTCTCCGCCTCTCAGCCACTGGTCCCAGCTGAGTCTCTCCGCCTCTCAGCCACTGGTCCCTTGACCTTTGCCTCCGTGGCCGGGAAGCCAGCCCGCCTGCCCCTCTGCCCCAAAGTTCCCCAGCCTTGGGTCAGAGAAGGAGAAAACAAACCAAAAAATCAAACTCATGGCTGCCATTGAGTCACTATAAGGAGAAGGTCCCCCCGCAGTCTTGGGCGCAGCCCCCCCTCCCCCCGCCGCCGAATCTCCGTGCCACAGCCTGAGGCATCTGGAACATGCTCCTCCAGGGTCCACCACTGCTTCCAAGACAGCCCATCCTCACAGCCAGGGGCTGGTGACAGGACTGGGCAGCCCTGTCAGTTCGAGGCATGCCCTGGGGGCAGAGTCCCTCCCTCATTGGGTGGGCATTAGGGAGACTTGGGTGGTAGAGCCACAGTTAGAAATCCCACTCCCAGGGCATGTGGTGTGGGAATGGGTTCTCGTTAGCCCATGTGGATTCTCTGGACAGGCAACTGTTTGGGGCCTCGTTAGCTTCCACTCCATTTCCCCAGCACTTGCAGGAGTGAGCGCCCACTCGTACCCTGGGTGTGCCCACTCAGAAGGCCGGGCCGCAGCACCCCGGGCGTCTTTCCACCCCACAACGTCTTTCTTTCTCTGCCCTCTCCCCCAGGCTTCTGGAAGGCCACCTGCCCCCCGTCTTGCACGAGCCCCTTGCTGGTCTTTGTCAACTCAAAGAGCGGTGACAACCAGGGGGTGAAGTTCCTCAGGCGATTCAAGCAGCTGCTGAACCCTGCCCAGGTCTTCGACCTCATGAATGGCGGGCCACACCTCGGGTAGGAGGCGGGGAAGTTAGAGTTTGGAGGGAGTGTGTGCCCGATAGTAATCCTTGAGAGATTCCAGGATGCGTAGACTCCGTGCTGCGAACTCCATCTTGAATCTGCCCCCATCCAGAAGCCCAGCCCACTGGGCACTACGCTCAGCCCTTAGCAGAGGCATGCCTTTCCTGCTTCGTTCGAGCTTGTTTTAGCCATGTGTACATGCACGTACACAACTGTGCCTGTGTTCACCCAGTGGGCTCCTGCTTTCACTGCTGCTCTGTGGGATGCCTTCACGTGGGCCGCTGGGTGAAGTTGCCTGTGTGTGTGTGTGTGTGTGTGTGTGTGCGCGCGCGCGCACACGCGTCCCTGCCCCCTCCTCGTTGTTGTGACCCATAGCCATGCTGTGGGACAGGAGAGCTGCCCCGCAGGGTTTCCAGGGCTGTCCTCCTCACGGGCTAACTGTTACCACTCTGCTGGATGTCACGTCTCTCTCCTGCAGAGGGGCTGGGGGGTTTGAACCTTGCCCCTTAGTGTATTGAAAGGGGAGCGTTTGTCCAGCAAGGCCCAAAAGGAGGGTGTCTGTTGTGGGGAGGGCATGAGACACCACTGCTTTTGTGGTCATGCAGGTGCATGGGGGCTGGGGGCTGCAGGGGGTGCAGGCAGTGGGCAAAAGGAGCTCCTCTCTGTATCTGCTGCATGGTGACCCGAGGGGTCTCTGAGCCTTTGGTGGTTTGTAGACAGCAACTGAAGTGTCTGTTTGGGGGGGTGCCCCTCCCAGAGGAGGCTGGTCTATAGTGGGGAGGTCTCCTCACTTGGGGTACCTGTGCTGTGGAGTGCTCCCTGTTTGGGAGGGCTGTGGTGGGAAGTGTTCCTCAACTGGGTGTCTCCTGCGGGAAGTGCACCTACTGGAACAGATGTGGGGGAGCACTTCCCACTTGGGTGTCTAGTGGGGAGTGCTCCCTGTTTGTGGTATCTGGCGGGGAGCCTCCGCTAGTGTTGTGTTGTGGGAGTACTCAGCCTAATGCCTGTGGTGGGAAGTGCTCTTGCCCAAGGTGTGCAGTGGGGGGTGGCGGGGGGTGTTGTCTGTGGTGGTGGGGGGCTGTTTGTAGCGGGAAGTCAGGCTGGGAGTGGTGCTGGGCTCCCTCCTGGCTGGAGTGGAGCTGGGTCAATCGTGTGCTAAAGCCTGGCCGAGGGTCCCAGGGGCAGGTGGGTGTGGAGGGTTGTGTGCAGGTGCCTGGTGGTCTCCAAGGCACCTGGAGAGGGTGGACGGTGCCCCACTTACCGAGTGTGTGCCATGCAGGGGGGACTCGGACCTACCCTGGTGGGAAACTGTGTCCCTGAGGAGGGGGAAGTCAACTGGGCGGCCCAGTTGTGTCCCTGCTAAGGCCTGGAGTGACTGAGGCTGGGCTGTGGGGTGCCTAGATGGCGGGCCCCCACCCAGCTGTCATCCACACGTCATCCCACCTTCACAAAGCCACCCCTGAGTGGTGCGGACAGCAGGTGACCGCCCAGGAGGAAACCGAGCCGGTGCATGCCCTCAAGGCAGTGTCCGACTCCCTCTCTTCTCCACAGCTTGCGCTTATTTCAGAAATTCGACACGTTCCGGATCCTGGTGTGTGGCGGGGACGGCAGTGTGGGCTGGGTCCTGTCGGAAATCGACAGCCTCAATCTTCACAAGCAGGTACCCGCCCGGGCCTGATGGTGGCTTTGGGGCAGCTGGTCTCCGGCACGAAGGTGGCAAAGAGTGAGGTGCCCTGGCGGGACGCTCATGAGGTCTTCCTCCACGAAGGCGAGCATCCCACTGAGCCACCTTGTCCCAGACCCCGTCGTCTGTTCGTCTGTGTGGTCTCTTTAGTTTCTACCCAGCTGGAAATCCAAGCCCAAACCCGCTGCCCGAGGATGGACCCCGGCCCCTAGCGTCCCTGGAGAGCAGAGTAGAGACAGTCCACGGGGTTTCCCAGGCAGTGGCCAGGGAGCGGATGGCCTCCCCTTTTTCTGGAGGAGCAGCTGGTGGGCTTGTGCCGCCTGCTCTCTGGCTAGCAGGAAGCGCTTAGCCCACTGCACCACTGGGCCCCCGGAAGTGGGCTGTTAGGTGCTGTCACGCCAGTTCTGACCCCCGCGACCCTCTGCAGAGCAGGCGCACCATTTCCCACGCAGCGCCGTCAGACGAGGGTGCCTGTGCTTGACCCCCAGGCAGCAGGCTCTGTGTGACGGGCTGCCCTCGCTGAGTCCCTGCCAGGCAGCACAGGAATCCTGGTGGCACAGTGGCTACCCATCAGGCTGCTAACTGCAAGGTCAGCAGTTCAGAACCACCAGCCGCTACAAGGGAGCAAGATGAGGCTCTCTACTCTCATAGGGTTATAGTCTGGGAAGCCCACAGAGGCAGCTCTACCCTGGCCTGTGGGGTCACTGTGAGTCGGACTAGACTAGGCGGCAGGGAGTTTGGGTGTTGGGTGAGTCAGGTGTAGGCCAGGGAAGACCTGGGCAGTGTACCCCGGCCATCTCAGGCTGGACCCCATTCCTGCTATGTGTTACATGACCAGTGTCCACGCTCCCTGGTCAGGAGATGGTGAGCCCAGTGGCAGCCCTCCCACCCCATTCCCTCCGTCCAAGGGCCCAGCGATCACTGCTTTGGCTTCTCTGTGGCCCATGGTGCTCTGGCCTCTCCCTCTGAGTCTGTCCATCCCCGATCTCAGCACCCATGCCCCCCACTTCCCAGGACCCCGCCCTCCCGATGTGCATCAGTTCTGCTATCCCTTCTGTTCTGTTCTCGGTCAGCCAGGGGGCTGCTAACCAGAAGGTCCACAGCTCAAACCCCCCAGCCGCTCTTTGGGAGAAAGATGAGGCTGACTGCTTCTGTAAAGGTGTGCAGCCTCGGAAACCCCATGGAGCACTTCTGTCCTATAGGGTCCCTGAGTTGGCAGTGGGTTTGCTGTGGGTTGGTGGTCGGAAGGAGCCCCAGGGGCACAGTGGTTAAGAGCTCGGCTGCTAACCAGTGGGTTGGTGGTTCGAACCCACCAGCCATTCCGCAGGAGAAAGAGGAGGCAAGTTGCTTGATGGCAGGCAGGCTTGGAGACTCTAAGGGGCAGTTCTGCTCTGTCCTATAGGGGCAGTGTGGGTCCCACTCGATTTGAGGGCAGTGGTTTTCGGGGGGATGAGAGGGCGGTGACCCGGGGCTCTGGTCCTCACATGTCCAATGCCCATGATGCCCATGTGTGTCCTCCCCACCCCCTACTGTGTTGGTTAGTGCCAGCTGGGTGTGCTGCCCCTGGGGACCGGGAATGACCTGGCACGAGTGTTGGGCTGGGGCTCGGCCTGTGATGATGACACACAGCTGCCCCAGATCCTGGAGAAACTGGAGCGCGCCAGCACCAAGATGCTGGACAGGTGAGTCACCTGCCCGGGGCCAGGGAACCCCTGGGAGGACAAGGCTTTCTGGTCACCTGTAGTTTGTCTTAGATTACAGGCAGGAGCTGAGTCCTAGGTCTTCCAGTAGGCCGGCTCTGCCGCCCCAGGGCTATGAGGGAAGGTGACTCTGGGGGCTTAACCACCTCAGTCCCATCAGCAGAACCATCTCATGTACCAGGGTCTGTCCCCAGAAGAATTTGCACCTTAGAGAATTATCTTCTGGTGCTTAAAAATCCTCAGCGCTGCTTTCCACCGGGCCTGCAGGGGCCTGAGCTTGGGGTCTGAAAGCCCCCTGGCCACGCCCCCAAATCCAGTTGCTACCTGGCTGACCCTGACTCAGCGGTGACCCCCATGTGTCAGCGTAGAACTGCCCGCCTGTATGTTCGGTGGCTGAGCTTTGGAGGCCTGTGTGGGGAAACCGGGTGTGTGTGAGCCACCTTGTGTTGGCTCAAGGACTTTGGCTTAAGAAGCAATTGGCTGCCTTTACCTGTGGAAGGTTCATCCCTACCCTCCAAGCCGGCTCCTCTTAGAGACCTCGTGGCTCTCAGAAGAAAGCTGAACCCCTTCTCCAGGAGCAGCCGGCCTGCAGGGTCTGGAGGCCAGCTCTTCTCTCAAAGCTGCTGCGTGCTGGGCCGAGCAGTCCACGTGTTTGTTCTCACTGTGCAAGGAGACAAGCAAGCTGGCCATTTCCATGGGACAGGGTGCCCTTACCCAGATGAATTAAGAATCACTCTTGGCTGGAGTCCCTGGGCCCTGGGGAGGGAGCAGGTGAGGCTGCTCTACAGGTCTGCATGCCCTCAGCCGCCTCCTCTTGGCCCGCAGGTGGAGCATCATGGCGTATGAGACCAAGCTCCCTCGGCAGGCCTCCTCATCCACCGTCACCGAGGACTTCAGCGAGGACTCTGAGGTAGGCCCTGAGCGTGTGCACCCTGCTGCAAGGCAGGATGGGAGCTGGGAGCCTTGCTGCCCAGCAGGGAGGACAACACCTGGTGGAGGTGGACTGTTGCCCATTGCCTCACCCACTGCATAGCTTGTCATCGCCATTGAGGTATGTGTTAATGCCTCAGAGGCCCGTGCTGTTGGTGAGTTTTCACTAACTAGTTCTTTAGTGTTGAGAGACACCCCTCACCCCACCACACACACACCTTGTCCAAGACCAGTCGATAGAATCTCTTGAGTCTTCCAGGTGGCCTCGGTAAGTCTTGGTTAGCATTTGACACAGGAGAGGCTAAGGCTGCGTGAGGCAGCACGTGCTAGGAGAGTCACCTCCTGGGCCTGCTCTGTGGGGAAGTGGCTCAGAATCTCAGTGACTCGGCGTAGGACATGCAGTCACGGAGACCCACTGCGACCCATTACCCTCTTTTTGGGGGCGGAATTCAGGTGCAGCAGATCCTTGTCTATGAAGACTCGGTCGCCGCCCACCTGTCTAAAATCCTGACCTCTGACCAGCACTCGGTGGTGATCTCCTCCGCTAAGTGAGTCCACGGGCACCGGCAGGGGGGCTGGCTTCCAGCAGAACTCTCTAAGAGCATCTTTCCGTGTGTCTGTCCAGAGTGCTCTGTGAGACGGTGAAGGACTTCGTGGCGCGTGTGGGGAAGGCCTACGAGAAAACGACTGAGAGCTCGGAGGAGTCGGAGGTCATGGCCAAGAAGGTCCGAGCCCCCGGGGACCCTTGCTTCGGGGCTGGGGTGCTGGGCGTGAGGACGTGCCCTCCACTCCCCCCGCCCCCCCCCCCCCCAACCACCACCCAAGACACAAAAGCACCACCCTCCCCTAGGAAGCTGTCATCCAAGTGGGTGACAGAGAGCTCGGAGGAGTCGGAGGTCATGGCCAAGAAGGTCCGAGCCCCCGGGGACCCTTGCTTCGGGGCTGGGGTGCTGGGCGTGAGGACGTGCCC